TGCTAAGAGTTTTATTTTGGAGTCGCCACCCTTATTAGGGAAAATTCTCAAATTAGTCAATTCTTTGGAATCGACTAATCCAGTTTTAAACCAGAAATAAGGTCCGAGAGTTAGGTACAAAATGGGAAGGTGTTAGGCACCCATTTGAGTTAGGTACAAAATGGGAAGGTGTTAGGCACCCATTTTGCCTGGCTAAGCCGGCCTCCTAGTTGTCCATTAATTTACAATAATTTAACAATGTAATTAACTAAAACTTGAGATGTAAAACCATTTATGCATTTTAGAAATCATGTCAAACATACATTCAATCTCATTCATTCAACATGAAATAAGCCAACCTAAGAAGGTGAGGGAAGAGAAAAGAGTTACAAACCACCGTAATTATTACAATCTACCCTCAAACCCTCCAAATTTCTCAAACCCAATCCATCTATTACAAGCAAGCCTTAATAGGAATCCTTATGGACCCTTTACATTTTGCAATAAAACTTAAAAAAAAAAAAAAAAAAAAAAAGAAAATCCAAACCACAAACAACAAACATAAAGAATAACAAATATTCAGAGAAGTATATATTAATTATAAGATCATAACACAATCAATCATCCAACAAGCATGAATATGATGAATGTAAATGATACAAGAATAATAAATAATGGGTTAACACAATAACAATGAACATTAAGCTAAATAATAAGAATTTAAAGGACAGGAATAATGAAGAACAGAAACAATAAAGTGCTAGTAAAGTAAAAGACAATAATTAAATGACAGAAATTTCAAGGTTTTAACAAGATTTGAGCTCATGATCTTGATGTTCATCCAGAAGGATGAACAAAATCCACTAATCCATTGCTCTCAATCAATTGAGTAAAGTAAAAGACAATAATTAAATGACAGAAATTTCAAGGTTTTAACAAGATTTGAGCTCATGATCTTGATGTTCATCCTAGAAGGATGAACAAATCCACTAATCATTGCTCTCAATCATGTTTTATATTTTTAATTTGATCCATATATAACCTAATACGCATCACGAACCTTTTAAGGTCAGAGCTTGGCCATAAGATCACAGAATCGGGACGTTTATTAGGCAAAAACAAGAAGTGGTGCACACCACACGTAGTGGAGTACGCCACAACTGTTAGCTCACACCACAGAGGTGCAGAAGCCCCTGTTTGGTTGATCCTAGGTTCCCCTCACAACCAAACCCAAAAATGGTGCTTTAAACACCAAAAAGGCAAAGAAAAAAGATGACGAAAGTGTATAAAGGTTCTTAGGAACTACCTTTTGTGATTTCTTTAATGATTTGCTCAAAAATGGATGAAGGGAAACCCAACACTTAGTCCTTGATCCAAAAATCTGAGATTCGAGATTATAGTTTATGTTTTTAGGATTCTAGATTGTCTATAGGGGGTTTTTTATTGATTAACAATAAGTTCTCAACTCAAATCCAAGGTTTAACACAAGTTGCCTTTTGATTTCTTTGGTTGAATTTTCAAAATGCAAGAATTTCCCTTTGTTTTCAAAAGAATCCCACTTTTTAACACACCCCAATGCATATTTATAGGCAAATAAGGGTGGGTGACCCCATTTTAGGGCTGATGTGGCAAAAATGCCACTTTCGAGCCCCACAATAGGATCGGGCCCACTATTACAAACTCAGACCGGGTGGCACATAAAATGAGGCAGTTCACCGGGAAGTATGCTAGGTGGACGTGCTTCCCAGGCCTAATTTTGTCGCAAAACCCCTGTAACCTAAAAAAGTAAAAATGGTTAAACACATCGGTATTCTTAGCCATGGACCATCGATCCAAAAACCATGGTGATTTGGAACCCCGATCCAATTTTATGAAAAAAATGGTGTATCATCATTGAACCTTTTTGGGGTAAAATTCAAGCGTCTACACCTTTTCTCTATTGATTTATGCTACTATTTATAGAACTCAAATTCTTGGAAGCTACTCTTCTCTACGCGATTTGGCAAGTGGGGCGTGTAGAGCAAGTAGGCTGCGTCCAATCGGATTACAGCTAAGCATGAGCTGTTGTTCAATGAATGGGGACTTTTAGCCTTAGAACTGGTGTAGGCGATTGCTTGATTTGGCTTTGGTACATAGGAGGTCACCTAGCATCCATAAGAGACCGCTTGGAGTAGTGTTTCACCCATAAGGGATCGCCTGAGTGCAAACCTGACCATAGGAGATCGCCTAACACCTTAAAAGAGATCGCTTGATTGGTCTATTAGCTATAGGAGGTCACCTGGGGGGTGAGACGGTCTTAGGAGATCGCTTGGGAGATAATTTGGCCTTAGGAGATCACTTGAATGTAGGTTTGGTCATAGGAGATCGCCTGGTGCTCATAGCTAGTCTCCTAGCTTCCTCTTTTTATCTGAGGATGATAAGGAGTAGTAATATGGTGAGTGATTTCATATCTTTTCAGCAAAATCTCCAAAGGTCGGTTTCAGAAGTGTGATCCTCCATCACTGATGAGAGCTCTAGGTGTACCGAATCTAGTGAGGATATGCTTCTTCAAAAATTTGATAACCACCTTTGAGTCATTTCTCGGTGCTACTATTGCTTCAACCCATTTAAATACATAGTCTACTGCAAGTAGAATGTATCTGTTATTGAATGATGGTGGGAAAGGTCCCATGAAGTCAATGCCCCAAACATCGAATAATTCTACTTCTTGAATGCTTTTTTTTTGTGTTATCTCATTTCGTCTGGATATATTCCCCATTCTTTGGCATCTGTCGTAGGTGGTGATGAATTACTTCACATCTTTAAAAAGATTAGGCTTGAAGAATCCAACCTGTAAGACCTTTGCAGCTATTTTTGTAGTGCCGAAGTGTTCTCCGTATCGTGAATAATGGCACTCAAAGATAGTGTGAAGCACTTCGTCTTCTTGTAGACATCTACGGACAATTCCGTCTGTGCATCTCTTGTAAAGCAGTTGTTGTACCAATAATATTCCTCAACTCTCTGAGAAAGCATCTTCTTGTTCAAAAGTGAGGTCATGAGCAATTATTTTGCTTGCTAAATAGTTGGCGTAGTCTGGGAACCATGATGCTCTTATTTGTTGGATAGCAAAGATTTGCTCTCTTGAAAATGAATCATCAATAACCACCAAAAGGTCATCTCCGATATCTTCTTCTTTTTTGATTCTGGATAGATGGTCTACTATAACATTTGTTGATCCCTTCTTGTCTTTAATTTCATAGTTGAATTGTTGTAGCAATAGGACCCATCTAATCAATCTCAGCTTTGCATCTTTCTTCTCAATTAAGTATTTGCGCATGGTCTGTATATATGGTAACTTTGGATTCAAATAGGTAGTTTATGAATTTATCCAAAGCCCATACTATAATGAGAACTCTTTTTCTGTTGTGGTGTAATTGGCCTGTGTCTCGTCCAGCGTCCGGCATGCACAGTAGATGGCGTATGCTTTCTTATCTTTCCTTTGCCCAAGTACAGCTCCAATGACTACATCACTTGTATCACACATCAATTCAAAATGAAGTGACCAGTCTAGTGGCGAGATCATTAGTGTAGATATTAGTGCTTTCTTTAACCTGCAAAAGGAGTTCATACAGTTATCGTCAAAAAGAAAAGGAGCATCTTTACCTAAAAGATGGCACAATGGCATTGATATTTTTGAGAAATCCTTAATGAATCTTTGATAAAATCCATCACGTCCTAAAAAGCTTCTGATATCTTTTACAGATGACGGTGGTGGTAGATTTTCTATCACCTCCATTTTGGCTCGATCAACTTCTATGCCTTTTTTTGAAATGATGTGTCCGAGAATAACTCCTTCTTATACCATAAAATGGAACTTTTCCCAATTTAGCACAAGGTTGGTCTCTTCATATCGTTTCTAGACCTTAGCTAGAATTTCTAAACAAGCTTCGAATGTTAAGCCATAAATAGAAAAATCATCCATAAAAACTTCCATGCATTCTTTAAGAAAATCTGAAAAATAGCCATCATACATCTTTAAAAGGTAGCAGGTGCATTACATAATCCAAATGGCATGCGTCTAAGTGCATAAGTACTATAGGAACAAGTAAATGTGGTCTTTTCTTGATCTTGAGGGTGAATATGAATTTCATAAAATTCAAAAAATCCATCAACAAAATGAAACAAGAATTACCAGCTAGTCTTTCTAAAATTTGATCAATAAAAGATAAAGGAAAATGATCCATTCGGGTGGCTTTATTTAATTTTCTTTAATCAATGTACATTCACCAATCGATCATAACTCTAGTGGTTAGGGTTGTGTCATCTTCTCTTTTAACTACAGTGATTCCTTCCTTTTTAGGCACTATATGAATTGGACTGACCAATTGACTGTCGAAAATAAGGTAAATGATACCTTAGTCTAACAGCTTAGTTATTTCCTTTTTAACTACTTTAAGATTTGGGTTCAGTTTTCTTTGTGGCTCAATTGAAGGTTTAAATCCATCTTCAAATAAAATTCTATGCATGCAAATCGATGAACTTATACCTTTTATATCTTTAATACTATACCCTAGGATATTCCTATATTGTTTAAGCAGATGCAACAATTTTTCTTCTTGATCAGCATTTAAAGAAGAATTGATTATCACAGGGTAAGTATTATCAGGATCGAGAAATGCATACCTGAGTTCCTTAGGTAAGGGTTTCAATTCTACCTTTTGTATGATCTCTGCAGTCCATGTCGTGTTTGGATCTACTGTTGATGAATCATCGGGTGGAGGGTCTATTTTTATCTGCTTATGATCTTCCTCTTCATCATTGTAAATAATTGGAATGAACTTTTCGAAGGGATCCTTATAGATTTCCTTGCTAATTATTTCCCTTGAAATCTCGTCTACGACGTGAACTCTAAAACATTTTGTATTTTACGTTGGCTGCTTCATCATATCAAGTAGGTTGAAGACTATTTCATCTTCTCCTACCTTCAACGTGAATCTATGTTCCTTGATGTTTATAAGAGCTCCAGCAATTGCTATGAAAGGTCAGCCTAAAAGGATGGGCGTTTCTGCATCATCTTCCATCTCTAGTACCACGAAATCCACTGGGATATAGAATTTGCCAACTTTGACTAGGCCATCTTCTATAATTCTACTTGGATATTTGATAAAACGATCGGCTAGTTGTAGGACAATAAGGGTTGGTTTGAGCTCTCCAATATTGAGTCCATCGAAGATAGATAACGGCATTAGGTTAACACTGGCTTTGAGATCACAAAAGGCTTTGTTGATCTTTACTGCTCCAACTTCACATGGAATAGAGAAACTACCTAGATCTTTCATTTTTGGTGGCAGCTTATTTTGGATCATTGCACTGTAATCCTCTATAAGTGCCAATGTTTCCGACTCTTCCATCTTCCGTTTCTTCATCAAAATTTCTTTCAAAAATTTGGCATAGGTAGGCATCTGAGTCATGATATCAAAGAATGGAATGTTGACATACAGTTGTTTAAGCATCTCTAGGAATTTTACTAACTGATTGTCTAGATTTTTCTGTCGGAGTCTTTGGGGAAATGGAATGGCTTTCCTCTCAAATGCTCTTATTCTCCTTTGAATATCTTCTTCTTGTCTTTTTTCTAGTTTCCTCATCTTCTTTTACTCCTTCATCATGCCTTTTGCTTTCTGATTCTTCTTGTTTTGATTTCTCCCCTTATTGCATTGCTCTCTTTGGCTCTGCTATCCACTTTTAAGGTAAATAGCATTGCATTACTCCTTTGGATTTGGTTCTGGTTGGCTTGGAAGCTTACCATAGGCTTTGCTTCTTGAGGAGCTTACCTGCTGCGCTATTTGATTCTCTATAAAATTCATGAGTCGAAAGTTGATCAATTCTTGCATTTATTTTTCCAAACATATCCTTGAAACCATAATTAGCTTGCTTTTATTCTTGTAAAGCTCTATAGAGTGGCTTCTAGGGTTGAGATAGAGCTAGAGTATTAATTTTGGTTTTTGTCCGACTGGAGTGAACTGTTGTTGTAATGAATTCTGGTTTTATCTCGAAGGGTATCCAAGTGGTGGTGTTTAAAGTTTTGGTTAGTAGATAGATATGGACAATTCTTGAAATCTGAGTTATAGGAGTTAGGAAATTGGTTTCGTCTAGGATCATGGGCGTAGTTGTTTTGGGCATAGTTGGCTTGCTCCAAGACCAATTCGTGTACCATGAGATTTTCATAGTGATTTTCTGCAAATGCGTGCCCTACCTCAGTATAGATTTTATGTTCGAGTTGAATTGCTCTAACTGCACTCACATTTAGCTTATCTAGTTTAATAGGCATTGCATTACTTCCTTTGGGATTTGTTCTGGTTGGCTTGGAAAGCCTACCATAGGCTTTGCTTCTTGAGGAGCTTACCTGCTGCGCCTATTTGATTCTCTAGTAAAATTCTGAGTACGAAAGCTTGATCAATTCTTGCATTTATTACTTTCCAAACATACTCTTGAAAACACGATCAATATAGCCTTGCTTTCATATTCTCTGTAAACTCTCATCAAGAGATAGTGCTTTCTTAGGGTTCGATATAGAGCTAGAGTATTAATTTTGGTTTTGCCGACTGAGAGTGAAAAATGGTTGGTAACAATTTTGTAGAATGAATTCTGGTGTTATTCTCGAAAGCTGGGTTCCAACGTGGCTGGTGTTATTAAAATTTAGTCAATTGTAGTCAATAGTAAAATAAATGATGACAAAATTACCTACTGAAATCTAGGAGCCGATCTTTGTGTGAGTTAGAAATTGTTTCGTCTAAGGATATCATGGGCTATTGTTGGGACCAAATAAAACAATAAGGTTGGCTTGCTCAAGATCCCAAATTTTCGCTGATACTCTATATACTGCAATTTGTCATGAATGTTAAATTATTTTGGCGAAAATGCCAAAAACTTGGCTTTGTATGCCCTAACCTCGAGAAGTATAGATTTTATGTTGAGTTGAAATTGCTAGATAAATTTCTAAACTGACACTCACATTAGCTTATCTTAAGTTTCCCTTCTAGAACAAAAGCATTCAACACATTTTGCGGATAGAAATGTGATTTTGATTTTCTGCAAATGCGTGCCCTACCTCAGTATAGATTTTATGTTCGAGTTGAATTGCTCTAACTGCACTCACATTTAGCTTATCTAGTTTCCTAGACAAAGCATCAAATTTTGCGGATAGAAATGTGAGTTCGTCAACATCGAGTATATTGGCTACTTTCTTAATTGTTCCTTCTTCATTCCATCTGTAACTGCTAGCGGCCATTTCCTCTAATAGGTTGTAAGCTTCATTGACTCTTTTTTTAGGAAGGATCCTCCGACGACTACATATAGAGTGTTTCTCATTGAAGATGTCGCACCATTGAAGAATAGTTGAATTAAGAATGGTCTGTCATACCCATGGTGTGGGCATTATCGCTGAAGATCTAAATCTTTCTCAAGCTTCGTAAAGAGTCTCATCTTCTTTCATCCGAAACGTGACTATTTCGCTTCTCATCTTTAAGGTTCTATTTGGTGGGAAGTATTTTTGTAAGAACGCTAGGCTTAACTCCTCCCAAGTGGTGAATGAACTAGGGGGCATAGAGTGTAACCAAAGTATGGCTCTATCCCTCAAAGAGAAAGAAAATAATCTCATTCGAATGGTATCATCACTGGCTCCATTAATCTTCAAAGTGTCGCTAATTTTCAATGAGTATTGCTTAGTCAACATTCAGATCTTCACTCGGCAAACCAAAAAATTGAGATTGTTGAACCATTGAGATCAATGCTGGTTTGAGCTCAAAGTTGTTTACAGCAATAGGTGGTCTGACTACAGCAGTTTGGATATCTCCGGGATTTGGAATATTCAAATCCCATAAAATTATTTCCTCAACCATGATCGGTTCTGAATTGTCTAACTCTTCTGATTCAGATTCTATTTTCTCTACCTCTTTTGGCTCGAATTGCGGGGTTTCGGCACTTCGGTACCTAGTCTGGATGGGACTTTTATCTCTCCTCTGGCGCCTTTTGTTGATTCTCTATAGAGTTCATGTTATTCATTCTATTCCTTGATCTAGAGGCACAACATGAACGCTTCTCGATTTGACCATAAAAGGTTAGCCCATAGATATATATATGTATATATTTTACTTTTTAATATATTGTGTGTGTGTGTGTGTGTGTGTGTGTATTTAAATATTATCTTACCTCCATCTACTTCTGGACCATTAACAGAGGTTGAGGCCATTCCCATTAGATTAATTATTGGATGTGGATAAAGTATTTACTTTTTTAATATATTGGGGTGTGTGTGGTGTTGTGGTGTGGGTGTATTAATATTATAATATAATAGATATATAAGTATATATATAGGAATAAATAGTATAGTTATATATATACAATATACTAATAGAAAGAAAGGGAAAAATTACGTGGGAAAAATAACAAAAAAAAAGAAAGGGAAAAACCTAAATCACAAGGATATAATGCCTACCACTAATTGCCTGATTAATTGGGGTTTTTTTCCAAAAGTTTCTAAATATCAAATGCACAATATACCATAATTCCCTTCCGTTAAACCTGAAAAATGTTTTGGCCTATCAAAAAATTTGATTGGATTCAATCAACCTAAGCGGCATAGAAGCTATTAAAATGGGAGTGACGGTGATAAGATAAGTCCACAATTCAAAACAGGTGTACCAGCGACACACGAGATGAGTCTATCTCCTTAACACAATGGAAACAATGAAATCGACAAAGCTTATTTGTGTGGAAAAATACTTTAATTATACGGCAGAACTATAAAGGAGGGGATGAGTTTAGATGCGAACTTTACAGAGTAGAAAATTTTTAGAATGATGTGTAATTAATAATTATAAGTTGATGATAATGTCCTTATATAAAAAATTACCACAACCTGTTAAAAAGAAAATCGATCAAGTAAAATTGCAAGAAATTAAAGGTGCAGGTAAGTAAAGGGGAAGCCAACAATTAACACAAAAGTGTAAATAAACTTTGAGAAATACAAAATATGTTTTTCCCGCGGTTAATACACAAGGGTACTTATAAAGTTTTGAGAGATAGAATTTACGACAAAGAGATTTTTGTCAGTTTAACCTTTTGAGATGTTTAGAGAGAACGTAGATAAGCTTATGGCGAATTTGCGAAATTGAATCCCACTTATACCCATATTGACGCCCCGAGAACGTTGGCAGGGTCAAGCCAGAAGTAAAGTCCACCGTGTAATTAATAATTTTTTGTAAGATATATAGAAGAAAAGAAAATTACTGAAAAATAAAAATAAAAATAAAAGAAAAAATAAATCACAGATAAATAAAATTGTCTGATTAATTGTTTTTCAAAATTTTCTAATATCAATCACATTGCAAATCCTCGGTAACGGCATCAAAAACTTGATCCAACTGCGCCAAGACAGCTAATAACGGGTGACAAGATTATACCACAAGTATTAACGGGTTGTACAAGTAGTATATAAAATATCGTATCTACAAGGATTGAAACGTTTGAGGACTAGAATTTTTTGAATACTTAATTATAACGCAGAATCAATAAGAGGGATGAGTTATGCGTAAATTAAAATAATAGAAATTTAAATAGTAGAAAAATAAATGATTGGAAATTAAATAAAATAAAGCTGTGAAAAAGTAAAATGCGATAAAGTAAATTGCAAGAAATTAAAGTGCAGTAAAGTAAAGAGCAAAAATTAAAAAAAGTTAAATAACTTAAAATAAAAGTTACCGGTTAATAGTTAGAGGTTAGCGGTTAGAAGTTAGTAGTTAGAAATATATTTTTTTTTTCTTTTTGAATTTAAAAATGAGAAAGTATTATGTTGATGGATTGATCCATTACCATCCGGAAGTGGGCGGCAGCGAAGTAAGTCCCGGTGATATATTTTCTAAAGAATAGAGTATTCTAGTTAGTTATCTCCTCTTTCGAGGTAGTCAACTATAACAATCGTATGACGTCTTTCGTACGTTGCATATGTAATAAGCTTCCCCCTTTTAACACTAGCTTTATTCTATTTCTAGATGTAAAACCAATGTTCAATTTGTGTGGTTCAGGTGCTTAAACTTCATCTTTCGATCCTTCGCTCGCCTACCTAATGTCAAGTAAATAAAGGGATCTGGCTTTTATTTTATAAGTGTTTGTCTTGCATAAATTGAACCAGAAATCTATATCACATTATAGATGATTCAATTTTTAATAAAGCCGCCCAACATTCCGAAGGTAATAGATATTAATCCATCCCAGAATGGCTGGTTTACTCACTCATTTCAAATAAAACTATGTAAACAACCAAATAGCAATCCATATTTTTTATTAAGGGAAAAAGAACAGAGTTACAGAAAGGTTGTTCTTTATAAAAATGATAATAAAATAAAGAACATAAAGATAACAGATAATAATAGAGGAGAACCATGGATCAGGTATGGCTTCTGTTGAGTCTGAGATATTGTTGCACAACCTTCCTCTCCTGACCTCTGAGATTATGAACATGAAACTATGCTAAATATTTACAGAGTGATATACTACTTTCTGTTTTTCTGCCAGCCCCTTTCTCTGTTGATTTATGTTGCTATTTATAAAACTCAGATGCTTGGAGGCTACTCTTCTCTCCATAATT